AGGCACCCTAGCAGGTGTTACATCTGAAATCAGTTGACAGAGAGCATAAGGACTGAGGGGCCAAGGGGAGACATAGTGAATTCCAGAACCAAGGGTTCTAACCATAGGTAGAAGCTTGAAGGGCCCCATCATTAACATATTGGATGAGTCATTTTCCCTCAGTCTTAGTGAGGAGTGGATAGCTTAAACCAGACAAATTTCAAGCATGAAGGATAAGAGTGAGGTGCCCTCGATGGTACGAAACCTGATGTATGTGGACTACACTCTAAGACAGTTCTATGCCTAGCAGCATTTAGCCAACACACACTGGACTTAATGGAGGTTGGGGCATGAAGCTGTGGAAGGCTGGGTGAACAGGTGTAAGAAATATCAAATATCAGTCTTTCTCATCAAATTCTTTAAAACTTGTGTTTAGGACAACCAGTTCAAATTCTTTTTACCACCCCCCCCGGACCTTATAAGAATTTTATGCAAATGTTCCCTGCACTGTTGTGGAGAGCCCACCAGAGACACTCAGACACAGTTTATAGTAAACCGGAGGCCTTTATTCCAACAAGCTGGGACTATGCTTAGATCTTCAGCTCCTAAGTATAGCACTAAGCATTTAGAAAAGGGCTTTTCATGGCAAACTCCACATTTTGCTATCTTTCTCTGCAGCTGTAGAGGGCACCGGAACAGAAGCTAAGATAAGTTGCCAGGGACAGCTTGACTTTGGGTTCCTAGAATAGAGTCGGGTAACTTTCCATGGGGTTTCCCATCAAGGAGATCAAATTCTAGTTAAATCTGAAAAGGCCTCATCAAGAATATGAGATGGAGGAACCTTGGGACTGACTGTCCCATCACATTCCCCACTGGTTTTATGGGCATGACTCAAATCATTGACTCATCCTGTTCTGGGGGTGGGTGTGCCATAGTTGGTCCTAAGGACAGGTAGCTTAACTGAATTTATTCTCTGCTTGATGTTGTTATCCATGCAATGAATATGCAGGGTCCCACTGGAAACTTGATCAGTATCAAAATCAACTGTCTAACTAACGCTGACAGTAAGGTGGTCAGCCATGGGGACCAGGCAAAAAGGGACTGATGCCAACTATCTGACCAGTGTCTCCTTTCTTCCCTTTTCTTTGAGGTTTTCTCTGATCGTGGCAAAATTTTCCCTGATTACCCCTGATTCGTTGACATAAAAGCCGTGAGCTTTTCCTAAGGCCTTGCAAAACCCTCCGAGTTTCAGAAAAAGGGGTCCAGCTCCAGTTCTGTAGGACTACCTCCGTGAGGGAGTCAACTTGATTGTCCAGCCTGGAAATGGACTTCTCCAAATGACCTAAGTCTAAGTCTATCTGGGAATCCCTACTGCCAATAGCCTTTAAGTTACCCGCCCACTTGGGCGTGGCCTCTTATACTATTTATGCCAATGTAAATCCTGGCCGCAGGATTCAGTTGCTGTTCTCCATTCCAGCAGAGATTGTGACTTGCGAGTCTACCCCTAAATAAATAACCCTCTATTACTCTCAATTCTGAGCTAGTGTGGGATTTCTTTTAAGCATCCTTCTTCAGGGAACAGAGTTCCCTAACGTTTTGATTCCCAACAATCAAGGCTGAGGAGCCAATGGCAGTTTCGGCAGCTATTCCTGCTCCTAGTAAGATTGGGAACAGAATTGGCACCTGTTTGACCCTCATTAATGTTGAAGACCAGCATGAGCTCTCTCCTCTTCTCCGTTATTGGCATATATCTGGGGGACAACATGGACCGATATATAGAGAGTGTGGGTGGTAGTGTGGGTATGACTCTCCAGAGAACTGGATGAGGCACATTTTGTCAAACTGTTTTTTACTTTTGGGGGGCCTGTTGACCGATGTTTCTGTCCCACCCTGTCCTTCAGTCATTCAGCCCCAAAGAAACACACAGAGATCTACATTAATTACAAAATGGTTGACCTAGTAGCTCAGGCATTTCTTACTAACTAATTCTTACATTTTATATTAGCTCATTATTCTTTTCTATATTAGCCACATGGCTCGGTACCTTATTCAACGAGGCAGTCACATCTTGCTCCTTCTGTGTCTGGGTGATGGCTTCAGACTGAGCTTTCCTCTTCCCAGATTTCTTCTGTTCTTGTTTGTCCCACCTCTACTTCCTGCCTGGTTCCCTGCCTATACTTCCTGCCTGGCTACTGGATACTAATAAAAATCAGCATTTTATTAAAAATAATACGAGTGACAGGATAAATGACCATTGTCCCACAGCAGGGGCCTGCCACCCAGCTCCCAAATAAATACATGGAGACCTGTTCTTACTTATGATTGCCTGGTCTTAGCTTGGCTTGTTTCTAGCCAGCTTTTCTTAACTTAACTGATCCCATATACCTTTTGTCTCTGGGCTTTTACACCTGTTTATCCTATACACATTTTTTTTTTCCTTTTTATTCTGTGACTGGCTGTTTGGCTGTGTGGCTGGCCCCTTTTCTTCTCCTTTTCTTTCCCCACCTCTTATTCTCTTCTTCCTATTTATTCTCTGTACCTTTCAGCCCCACCTATTTTCCCCCCCTCCCTCACTATTATCCATTCAGCTCTTTATCAGACCAATCAGGTGTTTTAGACAGGCAAAGAAATACAGTTTTACAGAATTAAACAAATGCAACATAAAAAAATGTAACACATCTTTGCATCATTAAACAAATGTCCCACAGCATAAACAAATGTAACACATCTTAAACTCATATTCCATAACACTGTCCGTCCCCTAGACCTCCACTGTTTCATCCCTGGAAGGAGCATAACAGGGCAGAGGTCCACCTGAAAGTTTCCCATACCCAGCTTTTCTGTGTTCCCATGTCCAGGTTTGGGGTGGATGAAGATTGTGTATTCAAGTTAGTAAATTCTGGTAGGTCATATCTTTAAGGTGTCTGTGTCCATGTTTTGTTTTGTGTTTTGTGGTTTTTTGGTTTGTTTTTTTTTTTTGCTTTTTTTTTTTTTTTAAATTGGGATGATGAATCCAGGAACTGACAACAACCACTTTCACCGCAGTTGGCGTGGTTAGAAGAACTAGGTAGGGCCCCTTCCACACAGGGATCCTCCTTATCCAAATCAAGTCTTCTGGCTGGAAGTGGTAGGAAGGTTTGGAGGCGGGAGATGGCAGGGTTCCTTTCTCAATCCAGTCAATGCCCTGCCGGGGTGAGCTCCCTGCAAAACCAGCTCTGACTTGAGAAGGAATGATTAGAAATGGCTGCTGGGAAATATCTCAGGATTTGGGGAGGATGGGAAGTATTTCCCAAACATAACTCAAATGGTGTAAGCCCCTCCCAGTACAGAGCACACTGGGTCCTGAACAGGACAAAGGGGAGGAGGTTGGCCCAATTTTTGCCAGGTTCTGTGACTAATTTGATCAATTTCCTTAAGAGTTCTATTCATCCTTTCTATCTGTCCTAAGCTCTGTAGCGTATACGCTCAATATAATTTCTAATTAATATTTAATACCTTTGTCAGATTTTGAGACACTCTGGTCTTGAAGGCTGGGCCATTATTGGACTCCAAAGCTAGGGGAAGTCCAAAAGTAGGAATTATTTCCTGAAGAAGTTTCTTAGTAACTATTAGAGGTGTCTCTGTTCAAGTAGGGTAGCCTTCCATCCCTTCTGAGAATGTGTCTACAAACACTAGCAAGTATTTCTAGATCAAAACAGTAGGCCCTATAAAACAGCTGGTAAATTCTGTTCATATAAAGGTCCCTGCTGCATTAGAAGAATTTGATGGCCTGGAGCAGTGACTCTTTAGAATAAGAACCCTTTCCTCCCCACCCTTCCTCCTGCATTTCCTGTGTGCAATTCTTTTCAGATTAGCCAATCAGATAAGACAGTGAGGCTGTACCTCAGTCAGTGGGGGGGAAAGACTCAATCTCTACTTGAGCTAAATAGAAAGCCAAGTGTACTTCCTTCCTACCTGTCTGTTCTCTTTTTAGGGCACACCCTCTTTATCAAGAGCAAAGTGCTTTTCCAGACACTTCGGTTGGAATGGGTGGTCTCTTTTTTTTCTTCTACAACCTGAGTTTATTTCTAACACTAGGGAGGTGGGAGACGCGAGAGGGGTTGCGAAGGGGGATGGATGTGATTAAAGTTCACTGTATGAAAATCCTCAAAGAGTCAATGACAGCACTGTTAAAAACGTAAATCTTAAAACAAAAAGGAGAACACAATAGAACAAACCGATTCTTAAGGGTTGTTTGGCTCTAGCGTTCTAGACGGAATGTATTCCAAGTTCCCAGAATTCCCCATGTTCTTTGTCTAGATATAGGTGCTTTCCTATGTTATAAACAAGAGAGTTACATGACAGAATATACAATTCTGGCTCCCAATACAGTCACATTAACGTTTAGAAGGCTCTTAATGATAGGTGGGTTCTGTTTCCAAATGGACAAAGTATGGGGTTCTAAGGATGGCATGTTCTGCTTCTCATACTTTTTCCATTTGACTAGACTTCAGGGGAACCAAGTTTCTGGTCTGGAATTTAGGCATTGCTTTAAAAGATATAGTTCAATCCCTGAGCTCCACCAGCCCCCAAACATCAATTCACTGCTCTGTCTGTGAGAGAAGCCACTACCAGGGCTCCTGTGTTCCCTGCTGTATACTTTCCATATGAAAGGAGAAGTTGAGGTGCAAGCCTAAGGTTTCAAAAGCATCAAAAGTCCTCTTTCTAAATGTCAGAGAAAGAACTCCACAATCTGGCTGTTTATACCTTTGCAGTCTGCAGAGGCAACTGGCTGACTTCCAGGTAACTGTCCTCACCAGACTTGTAAGCCACAGCAGTTTGCATGGACTCACAAAGCTGAGGACAAACAAGGTCCTAGAAAAATTGGGGATACTAAGAGCTGGTAGAGGAGCCCAGTGCATACATTTGAAGCTGGCTTCTGCAGTCCAGAGGACCAGGGGCCGGTTTCTTTCCTGGTTTGGTGAGTCTATAAATACCACTGTGGTTTACCAGCTTTGTATTTCTCCCACAGACATCTCCTTGTACCTACCCGTTCTTAACTTTGTACAATCTGCCAAACACCTGTCACAACGGGTTTGCTGTGACCGCCTTACTGGGATGTCTCTCAGGTGAGTACTAATCTGTTCATTTTGGTCTCCTAGTCTGATCCTCAGGGCACAGGAGAATCCCTAGCTCAGAATGCCAGATTGGGGCTTGATTCCTGTCCTCTGGCTCTGGTACCCTGTGCCAGGCCACAGCAAGCCTCCACTGCTTCTCTCCAGGCAGTGAGGTGGCTGCAGACACCGCAGGTCCTGAAATCATAGAGACCCAAGTTCAAATTTTACCTCTGCTTACTTACCTGTAACTTTGGGCAAGGATTGCCAGGCCTTGGCGTGTTGCTTGCAAAATACCAGTGTTAGAAAGAAGCTTGGGGTAACAAGAAAAGAGAACGAGACTCACATTTTAGTGTCCAGACATAGCAAACATTAGTCCTGGTCAAGAGGGTGTTCTATGGACCTCAAACACACCAGGGCAGGAAGCACAGTTGGTTTTGAATCTAACTCTCGTAGAGACTGACTTTACCCCATTGGCTGGGGTCTGACATCAGAGCTTAACATTTAGCTGCTGTAAAAAGAACCTGGGTGAAGGGAAGAAAGGAAATCAGAATGGGGTTAGCCATTTAATTTACTTATGCTCCCACAATGCAGCAGGACCTTGGTATAAACAAAGACTTTACTGGGTGGGAGGGTGTTAAGATATTTGTATGAAGGTGGAGGGGGCAAAAAGCTTTGAATTCTTTTTGTTGCAAACAACAAGGTTTATGGTGTTTGATGGTGAACACTCATATTTAATGTTTTATACCCCGGGAAAATTCCTCTGCTAGGGGCTTGCCTGCGATTTAATTAGGGCCATAACCCCCTACAGCTCTCCTCGGATCTCGACCAGGCCACCAGCATCTGTTGGAGCAAGTACTGTGTCTCAGTCACTAGGCGTCCTTTACTTCAGTACCCACATTCGTGCTTTGTTTACAATCAAACTTTTAAAAGAGGAAAAAAATGAACGAAAGATTCCCACACACCAGTCCCTAGCCGGCAAACAGAGCTGGCTGCTGGGGCGGTTCAGCTTGGCCCCTGCACTCGGCGGCAGCTCTCTGCTGCCTTCTGCCTTTCCAATGAGGAACTGTTCTGTGCCTCTTGGAAACCAAAAGCTAAAGGCAGGAAATGGAAACTGAAAGTCAACGGAGAACCAGAAAACGAAACTGTTCTCTCTTTTCTCTCTCTCTTTGCCAGAATTGAGCAAGACTGCAAGCTTCTCACTATGCCTAGACCTCAGCTTTCATCTCCAACGTCATTCTCAGATCCCAGTACCTGGGATCAGATGTTTCAAGAGCTGATTCAGAAAGAGAAACCCAGGGCCAAGTGGACCTTGCAGCTGGATAAGAATATTTTGCTGGATGACTTGACCAAGGGATGGAGGCAGTACCAGCAGGAAGGAGTTGGCTGGTGAGTTGGGGTTGGGCAGATTGTCAGTCCTCCTGAAGGTCCCACTCAGCGCAGAATAGCCACTGCCAATTTGCTCTTATAAAAAAAAAAAGAAGAACAAATGTGACTGGGTGGGTCCCCCAGTCTTCTATGGTTACGGGGCTGGTTGGGGCCCCTAGACGCCAACCCTCCACCTTGTTTAATGCAAGAAATCTTTCTGTCCTACCAGGTCTACTTACTATAATAGTTCTGGAGTCTGTGGAGCTGTGGAGAGTACCTCCAAATTTTTCCCAAATTGTTCCAACTTTCTCTCTTTTTATTGAATCTCCAGCTAGAACAGGTCTGGCCTTGGATCCAGCTGCTTACCCCTCTTATCAAGAGAAAACATAGTAAAATACTTACGATGGAGAAATAGATTTATCTACAATTTGGGTCCAAATGGGGGTCAGGGCTGTTCTTATCCTGTCTCTGTCTTCCATGCAGTAGTGTTGGCGTTCATAGAAACAACGAGACAGAATCGGAATGAGCATGTTACCAGAAATGTTGGGGGGTCCCCTCTATAGGTACTTGATGACACCAGGGAAAGTAAGCATCCTTCTTGGTGTTCTTAATTTCTTCAGTAAAAGAATCTTACAACGGACAGGACACTCAAATGGAAGCTTGAGGGCCATTTTATTTGTTTCAAAGTAAAGCCATTGGGTAGGCAAGCTATAAATCTCAGTGGCTGCCTGGGGGAGGGGAATGAAGAAGGGGCAGAAGGCCCTACCCTATGAGTTAAGTTGCCGCGGAGCTGTGCCATGGTAGATGGCCACACGGCAGGGGTGGGACATAAAGAGAACAAGTAAGCAAGGCCGGTGTCACAGAAAGCATATGTAGGACCGAGGTGGCAAGGAGAAAGTGGAAAGTTATGTTTGCCTGAGTAATTCAGAAAAGTGAACAGACTCGTGAAGCCAGGCAAGGAGAGCTACTGAGCTGGGTTTTGTAAGCTGCGGCCACAAGGAGCCGGAATTCTGGGAAGGAAATTACAATATCATTAAAAGGATATCCCACGTTATCCCTCTAGCATGTGATAAGTACTGAATCCCTAGTCATTGGATATCCTCTGCTGCCCATGTAATAAGCCAATCAAGCTGAATTAATAAATCCAGGTTTAATAAACAGAGCAGAGCAAAGCAGCTACTGGGTGACTCTTGGGAAAGCAGGGAAGGAATCACATGGCAAATATGACAACCAGGTCTTAAATAGCCTGCATGCATTAAATGACCCGAGTAGCCCAGGGGAGGGGCTGATTCTTGGTGGGCTTTCTCAGGGGTGGGTTTTGGAGGGGACAGCTGAGGGCGAGGTTTGTAGGGCAGCTCCAGGAGATAACCCCAACAGTATGGCTTAAGGTAAACCCATCTTCTCAGGTGTGGTCGGTCAATTAGCTAGGTGCTTGGCTGATCCAGCTGAAATGTTACCTGTCTACCCAGACCAGAGATTCTATTCTCTTGACAAAAAGGAGTTTGCTCTTAATGGGCCTTTATTACTATTCTAACTCATAGATTTAGTTGTGGAATCTGTGAGATTTGACCGTCTCTGGAGACACAAATATCTTACACAGGGGCCAGAACTTCTAGGGCAAGCCCTCTCCACTCTCAGCGTGGCATTTCCTGCAGGGAGCTGGAATTGAAAAATGGAGGGCAGGGGAGGGGAGGGAGAGTCAAATTTTGAGGGAGTCTCCTATATTAACACTGACCAGTCCCTTCAGGCTACAGTAAGACTCCTTGCCTGACCCCTGCTCAGGGCTAGTTTCTAAGAGTCAACTAAATACAAGCAGCCATACTGCACACTGTTTTACAGAAAGCCTGTGGATAAAAAGAGAGAAAGCTAAAGCCCAGGCCCAAGTGTCTGAGGAACACCCTTTCTTTATCGGCTGCCCTCCCTGCGGTCCCAGTCAAGCTCCAGGTTGTAGGGAACAGTTTTTCTTACCTTGTCAGGACAGTAAGAATGGATGGCCTGGGAAGCTAAACCCCTGTCTCTAGAACTCTAGGGCCTTTTCCAGGGCCCCTAGGGTCCGCAGTTCTTTCCGACCCCCTCATCTGTGCAGCTGTCTGCTCACCCTTACCCTATCTCAAGCACAGTGTGCCCTACCCCATATGAGCCTCGGGCAAGACATTTCCACACATTCTAATTTGTCCCTAAGATGTTGCTCAGTAGAGGTACGCGCTGTAGTAGGTAGATGAATAAGGTTGGTTTGCACGGCCTCGGCTGAGGAAAGAACCCTCCCCCACTTGCTTTGTATATCCCAAATTGTGTGTACATTTTATTATTCGCTTTTCTTACAGTACCTGTGAGGAATGACCTACAGAGGAAGAGAACCAACACTGAAAGGCAGCAGTATTGCCTGCCTCTAGATAGGCAGTTTATAGAAGTTTTGTGTCATCGTGAAGAACGTTTGATGCACATAATAACAATTCTCTTGTGTGTGTGTGTGTGTGTGTGTGTGTGTGTGTGTGTATGTAACAGCCCTGACACTCCTGGAACTCACTTTGTAGACCAGGCTGGCCTCGAACACAAATCTGCCTGCCTCTGCCCTCCTAGGTCTGAGATTAAAGGCGTGCACTGCCACTGACTCCCTTCAAATTCTCTTCTTTTTAAGACTTCCAGAGAGGCTTTTACTATCAAAGATGCAGGCTCAGTAGTAACAGGAAAACATCTAAAACACAGTGCCCCTTTTTCTTGCTTCTCTGTGACCAGGTCATTCAAAACCATATGAAAGGGATTCCTAGAATTCCTTAGCTGACCATTGTCTCTCAGACCTGAGCTAAGGATACCATGGGCTTCTTTGTTCTGCCTACAGGTTCCAGTGTTCCATATGCAACAGACACTGGATTTCTGCCCAAGTGAAGATCCTGTGCCACATGTATTGCGACGAGCCTAGGAAACTTCAGGGCCGGGTGCTCATGAGGATCTTTGCTCAGAGGTGCCAGAAGTGTTGTATGGCTAAATTTGAGAATCCTGAGTTCTCTGAAGAGAGCATCCAAAGAATTCTGGAGAATCTGGTTAGTCATATTATGCAGAAATACTATGGACATGGCCTCAAGAAAATAACATCAACTTCGAATGAGAGGGTGCTTTTGGATGGACCCCATGACAGAGCCAATTGTGAGGCATGCATTCTGGACCCCCATGGAGGGTGTGCCTACAAAGCAAAGCCACTCAAATCCCCATCTCCTCCACCAAAGAGCTGCAGTTTTTTCCCACCCCAGAGCCACGGTTCTTCCCCACCAAAGAGCCACGGTTCTTCCCCACCAAAGAGCCACAATTCACCCCCACCACAGAGTCCCAATTTTTTATCTCAGCCTGCAAGCACATATTCTGAAAATGTGCATGTTCAGGAACACAGAGAGCCCAATATCGGAGGGCTTTTTGCGGCTTTGTCTCTTGGAGCAATTATCCTTTTACGTCTAATCTTTCTGTAATAGACTTATCATCTTGTTTTAATTCTAGAGTTATCCATAAAATGGATGTCATTTTAACATGACAATGACTTGATTTGAGATCAAGAAAGGCCAAGTATGCAAAATAAACCTGGTTTCCTGGACGGGCTCTGAAAATAGCCCAGAACATGACATATATATATGTATAATGGAGTTTAAAACAAATTCCTACTAAGTCACTAAACCATCTGTATTTGCTTGCTCACTTATGGTTATCAAGTTATATTGATTAAATCTTGACAAGGTCATGAATATTATTGTAAATGTACTGTGACAGACTGAATTATGTTCCCCCCACCAAAACGGCCCTTACCCTACCCTCTAGGACTTGTGACTGTGCTATAGTATTTTGAAGAATAGATTTTGGAGACATGATAAAATTAAAGGATCTTGGGGTAAATTGTCTTGCATTCTCAGGTTGAATAACAAGAGGTCCTTCTGTTTATCTTTTCAGTCAAGGTCCATCAGAAGATTAACCTGAAAGGTTTGGCCTCTGGGTGATGGTGCTATGGAAGGGCATGTGAAGTTTATGGCGTGGTGCTGTGAACTGATCCTTCTGTGCACTGTGAATATGCAGTACTCTCATTGGTTAATAAAAGAACTGACTGGCAGGTAGCCAGTATGGGTGTGACAACCAAGCTAAGGATGCTGGGATGCAGAAGGGCAGCATTGTGGGAGTTGCCAGCCAGATGAGAACAAGTCAGAAACACAAAATAGAAGTAAAAGTCACGAGCCCTGGGGCAGCACATAGATTAATAGAAATAGATTAAGTTGTAAGAAATAGTAACAAGCCTGAGCTATCAGTTGAGCGTTTATATTTAATATACGCCTCAGTGTGTTTATTTGGGGGTTGCTGGCAGGATAGAAACTTTGCCTACAAATGGCATTCCAACGTGGGGCCAGAATTTCCACATAAGACCCGAGAAAGCTTTACAAAAAGGTTCTAAACACACAGACACAGAGCCAAAGGCATCTGTCTAGTTTCATGCCTTTCATGCCAGCTGTGGTACAGGGTTGCATCTCCTGGCCGCTGCCTGCAGTCTTGAGCTGCCAGTGCACCCTGGGATAAGCTGAGTGGCAGGTTCCTGCAGTCTCTCAGGCTGGCCGTGAGCACAGTCATATACAGAAAAGTGGCTCTTGGCAGCTGCCTGTGGGAAGAGCCAGCCACCGTGCACTAAGCTAAGCTACACCTGACATATTTTAAGATTTGTCTCATGAGGTCAAAAAAAAAAAAAAAGTCACAGATACACAGTAAAGACAGATTCAGATAGAAAAAAAAAAAAAACCTCTAAACAGGTTACAGTGTGTTTAAAAATATACGTAGGATTTGGAGAGATAAGAGAAGGTGTAGAAAGTCATAAAAAAGAAATATATAGTTTTAAAATAATAAAGTGCTTAAAAAGTGGGTAAAGTAATATAAAATAAAAAGCTATGCAAAGACAGGACCTACAAAGAAAGTCTGAATTCTGTATGTTACTGTTTGTGTTGTTTTTAAATATTTTAGCTGCCAAAGGACACTGGATTATAAAAACTGCTAGATAAAACACAACCTATATATTTTAAAAATGTGTTGAGTTCAAAATTTAAGTCAAAAGGTGTGTTACTTTGGGGGAGAGGTTATGCTTTTATTTTCACAGAAAATGTGGATTCATTCCAGGTTAAAGATGATCAGGTTTGGTTGAGGAAGACCCCCTGAAATTCTGACTACAGACATAGAGAAATAGACCTTGAAGAATGGCAAGACCTGTGATATATATTTTGCCTACTCAAATACATAACCAAAAAAAAAATCATCTTTGGCTGACTTATGTACAATGCACAGTCTATGCTTGTATTAATGCAGGTAGGTATGTTACCTTTAAAAGTTTATGTATTTTCAGAGCAAAGAAACCAGACACCAATGAAAATGAATGCCCCAAGTGATCCAGCATTCAAAACAACCTGGAGGCTGCTGACAGATGACTCAGCCTCACAGAATACTCCAGCCAAGGCCTAGCAATTATCTTGATTTTTCTCAAGGGTCCTCTAAAGATACCAGCAGCCCCAGACAATGGGAAGCAGTCTAGAGGAAACAAAGCCCACGTCCCCAAAATATGAATTATGAATGTTTATTATTATTTAAAGGGATTGGTTATAAATTGTTATTGGTAATAGTCAGAAAAAAAAGCTGAACAAAGGAGATTTGATTTAGGGATCTTGTTCTGAAAAGAAAAAGAGGGGGTATATAAGTGATAGGATAAAAGGGTAGATTATTGAACCTACTTTTAAACTAAAAAGACTAGTCTTAAATATTTTACATTGGTATATATTTTAGTCTATTAATATACATTTAAAGTTAATTTTTGTTATACTGTATGTATGTTTCTGTTTTTGTTTAAGGTATATCTATACAACTCATACCTATATAGCTCATTTAAAAATATAATGTATAATTAAGAAATACTAGTTATTAGTTATCTATAAGAATCAAACTTATAATCCTATTAGGCATGTTTTCAAGGTTAAACAGATATATTTAGATAAATAGTTGGTCTTCAAACACTTCAAAGACCTACAGAATATGGTATTTAAGATAGCATAAGACTTTTCTTGACAGTGTTGATAGGAAAATGTTACAGGTGTAAAGTTGCAGAGATATCCTGACTTATCAGGAAGCCAGGGTATACTTAGAGCTGTAATAGGACAGACAGTCTGGAGGGATAGAGCCACAATAAAACAGTTCTGGAGGGGTAGAGACCTAGTAGGACATCTCTGGAGGTTGAAGCCACATAGGACAGCTCAGCTCAGAAGGGGTAGAGACCCAATAGGACAGCTCTGGAGCTGCAATAGGAATGCTCAGCCTTGGAGGACAGTTGTCTTGACTATAGGGAAATCAGGCTACCTAGAGCCACAATAGCTCAGCCCTGGAAGAAAGGTGGAAGCCAGGCTACCTGAAGCTGGGGTATGGTGGGAGAAGGTCTCCTGGCAGGATATAGCAACCATGCTCTTCTCCTGTAGAGCTGCTACAGCTGTGCTATGCTCTGTTCCCTCATAGCTATCTGCTTCTTCTCCAGCCCAAGATGTTGTTACTTCTTTTGGTAACACTCTGCTATAAGGGAAGCCCCTGCAAAAATGTAGCAATCTCCTCCACTTCTGGTGAAAAGTTGTTACTTTTTCTGCTTGACTTTGCTCACCCTCCCCTTAAAGAGCATTCTAGCAAGGTTCTTCTGTTCTGTTCTGCCTTGCTCAGTCCCCCTAACGGAGCATCTTAACAAGGTTTTCCAGCTCAGTTCCCTAAGGGACGTCCCAGCCAGGTTCCTCTATTCTGCACTGGTGAATGAAGATAGTCACCTAAGACTCTTTTGAGAAAGAGATTTATGTGGGAAGGAGGAGTCCAAGAGAGTAGCTGCCCCTGCCAGGGAGGGATAAATGGTGACCCTTAACTGAATGGGCAGTGAGGCTTATATAGGGCTTCTTAGGGGCAGACTTTTCCCCAGGAAGAAGAGGGGTTGGTTAGTTTTACCATGCTCAAGAATTGGTTAGTTTAGTTGGTCAGGCAGAGATGGATCTGATTTCATGGCCAAACTGTTTCTTTCACTGATCTTTTTAGCTTTTTTGACTCTAATCTTAGAACCAGGGCATTTTTTTCCCCACTGACTCTAATCCTAGGGACAAAGTGTGTTTCTTTGACATTAGTTTCAGAATCAAGGCATGTTTCTGTGATTCTGGGTTCAAGGATAAAGATGTTCCTTTCCCTGGCTCTGGGCTCAAATCCAGGGTGTGTTTCTTTCACTGGCTCTGAGTTCAGACTCAGGGTGCTCAGTAATTGGTTGTTTCCTGCTCCAGTTGTCCCTTTTATTCTACAAGTGAGACACATCCTCTGGCAGCTCTAGTTCACTTCAGAGAAGATAATTAGCATTAAAATAACTCTATATGGAGTTTATGATCTTCATAGGAAAAGCTAGACATTTGGACAAAGAAACTGCCATTGCCTCAATTGCTGATAGTATTCTATCCAAATTGGACCAGGAGGAAAAGAAAGCAACTGCCAAACTTTGAAAAGACAAGGCAGAACAGGCCTTCAAAATTCCTGCATCACAGAAAAGTCTATCATATACTATAGGTCTTCAGGCTGAAGATGGATGCCCCATTGTCACAGAAGAACCAAGGGTGACCACCCAGACAGCCAGATGTCCCTGTCATTAGGTTAACATTTCACCTTTCTCGGGTCTTTGATGGAGTTGAAGACTAGATAGTCATAGTTAAAGTTTTCCTTAGTTATGATAAAAGGTAAATTAGGTATAAAACGTTAGACTCACAAAGATAAGATAAATAATAAGAGTATTTTCTTTAAATTTGCCAAATACAACTGGACAAGATCTTATAACTGTAATTATTAATTAATAACTGTTTTTTATTATATATAATTTTGCTATGTTAAGGATATAATCTTCTGTTTTAATTAGATAAAAGGCAGAAATGCTATGGGATAATCCTTCTGTATCCTATAAATATGTATTGCTTTCATTGGATAATAAAAGAACTGACTGGCAGTTGGCCAGACAAGAAGTATAGGTGTGACAACCAAATAAAGGATGTTGGGTAAAGAAGGGCAGAGTCTTGGGAGTTGCCAGTCAGAAACAGAATGTGTTGGACACACAAAATGGGATAGAGGTCAAAGCCATGAGCCTTGAGGCATCACATAGAACAATGGAGATGAGTTAAGTTGGAAGAGCTTGTTACCAACAAGCCTAATCTATCAGCTGAGTGTTTATAATTAATATAAACCTCAGAGTATTTATTTGGGAGCTGCTGGTGGGACAGAAACTTCTGCCTATGACATGGGCTTTGAGGGTGTGGATTGCTAGGGCATGTTCTTGTAAGCATCCTGAGCCATTCATCCTTTCCCTTCTCTTCCTAATTACCATGAGGTGAGCATCTTCCTTCTTCCTGCACTAACCTTCATGATTGTCTGCCTCGGCACAGGTCCCAGAACAACAGAGTCAAGTAACCATGCTAATGCTTGCAAGATGGAACTCAACTAACTATGTCCTTCCTGAAAGAACTGGCTCTCAGATATTTTACCAAAGCAAGGGAAATCTGAGAAATACAAGTCCTAGTAAGTGGGAAGCAACAGGATCAACACCAGAAGAGATTTGAGGATAGAAGCACAAGTTGGAATGATGTGTTTCAAAAATGAAGGAAGGGTTCACCAAAAAACGGTAGAGGTCAGCTTCTGTCTGAAACCTCAGGCAGGTACAGAAATCGGCCCTTCCTTGGAGCCTGCCATCACATGAATTTAAGTTTTAGTCATATTCATTTTTAGTGTACGTGCGAGTGTGTACACACATCTCTCTCTCTCTCTCTCTCTCTCTCTCTCTCTCTCCACATCATGCCACAGGGCACATGTAGAGGTCAGAGGAGAACTTTCTGGAGTCAGTTTTCTCTGTCCATCACATGTGTTCTGGGAGTTCTGGAGATTGAACTCATGTCAGGCTTCGCTGCAGGCGCTTTTACTAGCTGAGCCCTTTCGCTGTCCTGCCCGTTAACATGATGTTAGCTTAGCAAGGATGACTTTGGACATCTGACCTCCAGAACTACTAGGTGGTAAGTCTGCACTGAGGTACTAAGGTTGTGGTCATTTGTTCAGCAGCAATAAGATGGCATAAGCAGGGCTCATCTGGGAAGAGGAGAGTCAAAAGAGAAACCGCCTCCATCAGATTCCCGTAGGCAAGTCTGTGGGGCATTTTCTTGATCAGTGATTAACAAGGGTAGTCCAGCCCACTTTGGGTGTATTGTAATGTAGCTAGCTTGCCACCAATAATCTGGTTTGTATACTCAGGGGAGAGTAGTGTGTTGCAGGCTCATATGGTCATGACAAACTTAGAAGTCAGAAGTAATATGTATATCAGTCTTATTTAATAGAAATCCATTCTATGGGTCCGATTCATAGCCTCCATTCCCACTTTTACGGCTTGTCCACTCATGTATCCAAAGTACCAGTACTAAAACAATCAATGACAGAGACTCCTAAAGTCAGTCACTCTATCTCCTTGGATGGTTTAGGGTCCTTTCTCTAGTGGTTACTTTCTGGGAGACATTAACATAACACATGTTTTCTTGTGTTTTGTTTTTTACACTTTGTGCCCATCTTAAAAATCCATTCACGCTTCTCTTCCTCCTGTCTCACTGTCTCTAAGTTTCCTATCTGTTATACTTTGAGGTTTTAAGTGGTTTTTGGAAAAGCTTGTGTGTTAAAAGTTTGGTTCTCAGCTGGTGAATCTATTCATTGAGAGGTGGTGGAATTCAGATGGTCAATCTAAAAGTATTACTGTCACAGGCGGGGCTGTGGACTTTATCTGATTGGAGCAACGAGGGAATGAAGAACAGAGACACACAGACACACATATGGGAAGTCTGGGATTGGGTGGGCAACTGGGACACTTAACCTGTTTATTTTATACTGCTAAATGAGGAGGCAGATATATTGTAATATGAATGATCATATTTTTACATTATATACACATATCTATTTTAAACATATAAACTGTATGTTTCCTTCCTCCTCTCTCTGCATCCCTGGCCATCATGGAACTCCCTATGAGGACTGGGCAGGCCTACAATTGGTAGAGATCTGCCGGCCTCTGTCTCCTGAGTGCTGGGATTAAAGGTGTGCATGACCATGCCAGGCAAAATTGCATTTCTTAAGCTATGCACATACATGACTGTGATAAAAAGATAGTCCATTTGGGGTTTCCAGACCCCGCCCCCGCAGCTCAGTCCATTTGGTGTTTCCAGACCCCGTCCCCCGCAGCTCATCCCTATTTATTTAGATTTTGCATTCTGTGCTTCTCCCCTTTCTCTTCTCAAATTCCCTTGGTTTCTCTTGTTCTCTTGCTCTTTGTCAACTGTGTTTTAGATGTGATTGCTCTTGTGGGATTCAAAGACAGAGGATGTTCTAGTTGCTCAATAACGTAACAACTCAAGGCTATCATTACTTACACTGTGAAGATCTAAGTCCATCAGCCCAGGGTGATGATTGTGATGGCTAATTTTGAACACAAACTGGATTGGATTTTTTTTTAAAAGGACATCCATGAAGCACACTCATGTGTTTAATCTGTGATAGGGTTAAATGGGAATGGGCGACTCGTTGTGAGGTTGAGCAGAAGCATCAATGGTCTGGGACCTGGATCCAAGTTAAAGGGAAAATTGGAAAAAAGCCAGTTAGTTGAGCGCTTACATTCTCTGCTCTCTGCTTCCTAGTCAGTGTCATGGAGTAAGCCCTTCTCACCACCATGCTTTCCGTGAAGTGTAAACCACTTTGGGGTGGGTTACTTAGTCTA